CTCATTTCATTTTACTAATTTTAAAAATATATATGTATTCTTGATATAATAAATATTTGAAACATATTTCATTAAATACCCATTCGGCTCTCTGTATCCCCTAAACTTATATACTAATATTAAAAAGCCTCTTCTTATTTTTTCCTTAGCGAATAGTGACCTTTCATTTTTTTAATAAATATAAATTTTCATCGTCAGATCATGCCTCTTCGAACTCCCTACCAGTTCATTTTTTTAATAAGTATAAATTTCCACCATCTGATCTCGCCTATTCAAATTCCCCCGCTATCCCATTTATTCTGGTTTTTAGCTTCACGAGAGGTCTCAAAGAGTCGCTAAAGAAGCTCTTCGCTACTGTCGGATCGGAAGCGACGATGGGTGAGCTAGCTTCATGGGAGTTCTGAAAGTCACTAAAAGGAGTTCTGAAAGATCAGAAGCCACGATGGGAGAGAGCTCGAGCTTTGCTTTTTGGTTGTTCATCGGCTTTGCGTGAAGGGAAGTTTTGGAAAACCAGACTTATTCATAACAATGACATGTAATCCTGATTGGAAAGAAATTCAAAATGAGTTAAAGCCTGGTCAAATGGCACAGGATCGACCTGACCTAACAACGCGTATATTTAGGTCTAAATTACAAGATTTAAAGGATCAGTTATTCAAGAAATATATTTTTGGAGGTGTAGCTGCTCATGTATATGTTATAGAATTTCAGAAAAGAGGGCTTCCACATGCTCATTTCTTAATTATCTTGAAGACTGCATTTAAGATAACAGTTCCAGTACAGTTTGATAGAATTGTATCTGCAGAATTACCTGATCCTTCAAAATATAAGAGGCTACACGAATTGGTTGTTAAGCATATGATGCATGGTCCATGTGGAAACTTAAACAAAAATAATGCTTGTATGAAAAAAGGATTATGCAAGAATAAATATCCCAGATCTTTCTCAAGCCAAACTATAGTTGGAGATGACTCATATCCAATTTATCGGAGAAGAAATGATGGTCAACAAGTCAAAGTCAGAAATAAATATTTGGATAATCGTTGGGTTATTCCTTATAATCCATATTTATTATCTAGATATAATTGTCATATAAATGTTGAGATATGTTCTGGTATTAAAGCAGTAAAATATATTTATAAATATATTTACAAGGGGCATGATAAGATTTCAGTATCAATTTCACAAAAAAATGGAGAACAACCTTTTGATGAGATTCAACAATATCAAGATGGCAGATGGGTATCAGCACCAGAAGCATTATGGAGAATATTTGAATTTGACTTAAATGAGATGTATCCATCAGTGTGTAATTTACAACTACATTTAGAAGATCAGCAATCCGTTTATTATAAATACAATCAAAATTTGGTTGATATCTTAAAAAGAAATGCTGGAAAAAAATCTATGTTGACCGAATTTTTTCATCTGAATAAAAGTGATTCAGAGGCAAAGAAATACCTTTATAGAGAAATTCCTGAAAAATATGTGTGGGATAAAACAAAAAAAATATGGAAGCAAAGACAAAGATATGATCAAATAGGTCGTATAAACACAACAAATCCATCAGACGGTGAAAGATATTATCTCAGAATTTTATTAAATCATGTATATGGACCAACCTCATTCTCTGATTTATTACAAGTTCATGGAAATCAATGTTCTACTTTTAAAGAAGCTGCGGAGAAGCATGGTCTCCTAGAAACAGATCATTACATATCAGATTGTTTAGATGATGCGTCCAATTATCAAATGCCAAGTGCTCTACGACAATTATTTTCTATTCTTCTTATTTACTGCGAGCCAACTAACGTTCTCCAATTATGGAATGATTACTACATAGATTTGTCTCACGACTATCAGACAAATAAGGAAATTTCTTCTAATGAATGCATCTCAAAAACATTATTAGATATAAATACATATCTCGAGAGAATGGGGAGGACTATTGATGATTTCGACTTGCCAAAATTGCCACCTGTTGAAGAGGACTTTATTGATTATAATGATGAACTTCATAATAGAGAAATATTTGAAGAGCGACATGTTATTACTCCTGTTGAAGATATAGATATGGTACTCACTCTTAATATAGATCAGAGGAACGCATACCAAGAAATTATAAATCGTGTCGATAAGAAACAGAGTGGCATGTTTTTTATAGATGGGCCTGGAGGGACAGGTAAAACATATTTGTATCGTGCATTGCTTGCAACTTTAAGAAATAATGGACACTTAGCGATTGCAACAGCAACATCGGGAGTGGCTGCTTCAATATTGCCGGGAGGTCGAACAGCCCATTCAAGGTTCAAGATACCTATAAATTCAACAGAGACCAGTTTGTGTTCAATTAAAAAACAAAGTGGACTTGCTCAGTTACTTAAAAAAGCAAGTATTTTAATTTGGGATGAGGCTCCTATGGTTAAACGAACAGCTATTGAATCTTTGGATAGGACTTTGAAAGATATTATGAATAATTCTATTTATTTTGGTGGTAAAGTGATTGTATTTGGAGGTGATTTCCGTCAAGTACTGCCAGTGGTTAGACGTGCATCAAGATTAGAGACTATTAACTATAGCATGGTTAAGTCATACTTATGGTCAGATATGGAAGTTTTCAGTTTAAGAGAGAATATGCGAGCTAGGACAGATCAATTATTTTGTGATTTCATTCTTAGAATTGGAAATGGAGATGAAGAGGAAAATGAAGATGGCCTCGTGCATATTCCAGATGAGATGATAATAGATTATTTTGATGATCAGACTTCAGAAGATTTGTTAATAAATGTTATATTTCCATCTCTACAAGATAAGTCAACATGTTCAGATTACATTATGGAAAGATCTATTCTAGCTACAAAAAATGAGTATGTTGATAGGCTTAATCAGAAGCTTATTAAAATTTTTCCAGGTGATGATGTAACTTACTTCAGTTTTGATAGTGTTACTGATGATAGCAGTAATCTTTATCAAGTTGAATTTCTTAACTCATTGACACCTAATGGACTTCCTCCACACCGTCTTACTCTGAAGAAGAATTGTCCAATAATGTTATTAAGAAATTTAGACCCTTCAAATGGTTCGTGTAATAGAACACGGATGATATGTAAATCATTTAAAAATAATGTTGTTGTTGCAAGAATTTCAATGGGGCAATTCTCAGGCAAAATTGTTATGATACCTCGGATTCCATTGTGCGTAAGTGATGATGAAGCTCTTCCATTCAAATTTCAGAGAAAACAATTCCCAATACGTTTGTGTTTTGCAATGACTATTAATAAGTCACAAGGTCAGACAATTCCGAATGTTGGTATTTATCTTCCTCATAATGTTTTCTCTCATGGACAATTATATGTAGCTTTATCAAGAGGTATATCAATGAGCCAAACAAAAGTGCTTATTATACCAGATAAATATACTTCAACTCAAGGTTCTTATACAAAAAATATTGTATACAAAGAGATCTTCAAATCTTTCAAACAATCAGAAGGTATGAACATTCATTTAAATTAATTGTTATATTATTACTATTTCAATATAATAATTGAAATTAATCAATTATTAACATATTTGTTATTTTTTACTAACAATTTTTTTCTTTTTATTAATATCAGATAAGGATTAATGGAGGCATCAAGTCTTATCAGGAATTTATCTCTTCAACAATGCTATTGGAGTATTATTGTTGTCTTAACTCAAATTGATATAGT